TGTATCTAGTTTCTAGTTTAGTAATTAGTTAAATAAGTACGGGTATTTATATAATTTCTCACGTAGCGAGCTCACGAGTCTTCGTACAAATGGCTCGAACTCGGCTCGTGTTATAAACGAGCTGCTCGGGCTCGATATTAACCGAGCTCGAGTTGAACGTTGACTCGCTCGCGAGTAGTTCGATTCATTTGCACCCCTAATATACTATTGTGACGTTGTATTTAAAAAATTAGTTTTTGAAAGATAGGCCAATTCAAACGTAAAATTAGTTTTTGAAAGATAGATAAATTCAAATGGAGCAAGTTCGTAATTTTTTTTTTTTGTAAATCACTAATTGGTATTATTTAGTTTTAGTTCTAGGAAATATTCAAATTTTGTTAACCTTTTCTTTTTTAATTTTAAAAAACACAATTGGATGACATTGCCAACATAGTATACAAAGCTGGAAGCCATAAGATGCAAACTACATAAACATTCTAGGAATCTAAAAGTTATATATCTACCTCTATCTACCTATTATATAAGAAGAAAGTGGAGTTACTATAGCAACTCCAATTATTGTCAAGTGGATTCCTCTCATTTTGACACGTGGCCCATTCCTTTTCTTTTCTTTATTTTGCTTTGTTTTTTCTTTTGTTCACTTTATTTCCTTTCTCCTTTTTTATTAAAGATAATTAAACAAATCCTCATGTAGACTGCAGGTTTGTTATTTAATTTCCACTTTGTACTCCGTTTTTTTCCCCTATCATCCTAATTAATCATTTATTCTATTTTTTCTCTATTGGATTAGTTGATGCATTTTCTTTCATTTTTGTCCATAATTAACTAAATGAATGATTTCATTATCGGAGATCAAGAATGGATTTGATATTTCCTTTCTTCCATAGTCCAATAATTATGATTCATGATCTTCTACTTTTAATGTTTCTTTTTGGTATATATTATTTGATATTTTTTTTCTCATTTTTTGCGTCTTGATCTGCAACATTTGCTTATTGCTTTTCTCATCTATTTCTTTTTCATGTGACTTTCTTTTCTGCCCAAAATAGGTATGTGATGCTGTGAATATTTTTCCTCAAATCTAAAGAAACATTTTTTTTTTGTTTTTTATATTTTATTTATTCTGAAAATACTTTTTGATCTTTTTATTTTTGGAAAATGCTGACAACAAGACGGGTGGTGATTACATGAAGAATTTTTAGGCTAACAATGAAAGAATTGTAACTACTTTTCCCTCATAAAATAAATAACACCATTATGCAGATTCATTCTAATTCTAATTTTTTATTTATTAAAATTGTTATTTCATAATAGGGTGATAGTACTACAGTACAGGAGAAAAAATCTAATAAATGAAAATCCAAGGTAAACGATGATCAGGAAGAAAAAAATGATGCCTATTAAATTAAAAATTAACCAGAATCTCTTAATTTATGGATAGGTAATTATATTTTAATTTATATAAAGTTTATTAATTGTGAAAAGTGCTTATAAACTGGATAAGGTGGATGACGGGTAAAATAATTGTTGTGGCTAGCAATTTTGAATGTGAAGATAATATTTTATATCTCTTCATTCAACATTTTGAATGACTAGCTTGTATCCATAATAGGTAGTTTATTTTCATGGTTTTAATTTTAGCAAATGATAGCTTGGAAATAAAAGAAGTGCAAAATTAGATTTCAGAATCTTTTACTTAAACTGGTTCTATATGACTTTGTACTCTTATCCCTTTTTATTGCCCATAATGATAGATAATGTAATTAGAGTTTGAGATGATTGTTAGACATAGAACTGAGCATATCATTACTATTTGACTAAAGAAGTTAATAATATTTTGTCGATTTGACTAGCTAAAACAATTGCAGTTTTCAAAAGAATGCATTTGGTGGTGGAAGTTAGTATTGAGGTCTTTAGCTTAGAGTGTCACACTACAAAATATTATTAGAAAATTCTATTTTGATTAAGAAGACATATTTGCAATCAAACAAATTGTTGGATTTGAATTTGCATATGTAGATTTACAAATATAACAATTCATGTTTTTATTTTAACTTGCTATACGTATTCTATAACTATTTGGTTAGATAATGTTTTCATCTATTTGTAATGCTATTAGACATTATTTAAATGGATAGATTAACTCGCTCTTTCTCTCAAAAAAGAAAGAAAAATATGCAAGTTTGTATTTTTTTTTATTGATGTTGAAGATAGTGACAGGTTATTGTGGCTTTCTTTATTTTTTTCTAATTATTAAAATGTTAGAAACATTATGACTACTCTTTATTTAATTACAACTAAAACTATGCTGCTATTAAACCGATAATGCACTCATAATGGATTTGCTTTCTTTTCTTTTTTGGTATTATTACCAACACATAATATTGGTTAAAAATTTTTTTCCAAATCACAATAAATTGGGGTTAACTTTATATATGAAATTTTTTTCACAGCAAATTTTAATTGTTTTTATACTTAATTTTTTTTTCTATATTTCTATTCATTATGTACTAAAACATTTGTTACTATGTATTTAACTAATGTTCTAGAGGGCTCTGGCTGTGCGTTGCACAGCCGAGGTACCTCTAGTCTTGTATATAAGAAGAAAGTCAAGTTATCGTTGCAGCTCTTCTTTTGGCACATGTATTACTTATATTTTTAACAAGTGAAACCTTTTTTTTTGCTAAATTTTTCCTTCCCCTTTTTCATTCAATTGGGCCAAAAAGGTTAAAATATATTTGTTCCATCAAAAAACGTACTCATCTCTTCTTTTTCTTTCGATAACTAACGTCATCCCTCACCTTTTTAAAAAAAAAAAAAAAAACTAATCTAACTAAAATTATTGCCATATTTTTTTTTCTAGGTGATTAGCTGTTTGGCCATAAGAGATCTTTATTGTTTCTTTGAGTCAATTTTACATTTTCTTTTCTCTTCATCTCTCATCTCATTTTTCATATTTCTTCTATTATTCAATTTTAATATTATAGTCGATTGACATTCGTTTGCTAAATTTGCAAGATGATATTATTATTTGATATTTCTTTATCGATAAAAAGTGAAATATTAAAATATATGAAAAGATCTTACGATTAATTTTATGTCAGTAACCTTTTTTCTATGAAAAATAAAGCAAAAATTCATTATTTTCTTTTCTCTTCCCAGGATTTGATTTCTTACTTCACATTTTTTCCTTTTTTTTTGGGTACTATTTTGTGATTACCTACAATTTTTGTGTAATTTTGTTAGGATGAAATATATATTATGTGATACTTCTACCAATAAGTCCATGGAAGGACTAAATGAAGTCAATATATCTCGTATATTGGATGACTCCATTTCCAAAATTTTCACCTAAAAAAAGAAACAAAAATTATACTGATATCTTAGAAAGAACATGTATTTATAAATGGAGAAACATGCAGACGTCGTGTGTCTTTAAACCTATTAGCTAATACTAGGTGGCGCACAGTGGTATATATGCCCAGTTACTAGAGGTGGCAATTTGTCCCAAGTCCCAATGGATTACCCATGCCCATGGGGACTTTGGGCGGGATGGGTATTGGATTTTGATATTGGGTTTAAAATGAGACAAATCCCAATTGTACCCATTAATTGATGGGAATACTTGGGAAATACTTGGGTACCCATTGGGCTCAAATAACAAGGGCTCTGTTTGGTTTAGCTATTTTTGGGGGGTATTTTTGAAATATTTTATTATAGCAGTGTATATGAAAAATTTTTACTATAAATTTTTTTTGAAATATGTGATATACTAATATGAATGGGATGTTTTTTGAGTTATTGTATATTACTGTAACATTGTATTTGAAAAACTTATTTTTTGAAAAAATAGCCAATCCAAACGGAGTCTTAGATTAAAAAATTATCTTTAACAATTTTTATAGTCATACTAGAGAATATAATCTAGTAGTTTTCCTAGTCATTATCCACAAGAATTTTCAACATTTCAGTCAATTTAGACCTGTCATCTTTGGACAATGATGAGGATAAATATTCAACACCTTAAGTACCTTGGTCATCTTGATATATGTTGGAATATGACTGTATATCTATTTTTTCCTTTATTTGTTAATCCAATTTTTTATGGGAATCCTGAGTATAAAGCACTTGCATGTTTATTTAATAAAACTAAAAAAAAATTAATAAATCAAAAATATTAAAATTATATAAAAAATAAAAATGAATTAAAGGAAAAAAAATATGTAGAAAATAGATTTGGGTATTGGGCGGGATCAATCTAAACCCATCCCAAAGTGATCCCGCCCAAGTTAGTCCCAAAATACATATGGGTAAGGTTGGGCCCAAACCCATATGACTCGGTTTCATCACAAACCCAAGCAAATCCCGCCCATCCCGCCCATTTTGCCACCTCTACCAGTTACCGTTTAGTTAGTAATGTTAGTGAGAATTAAAATGAGTGAAATGTAGCACAATTAAAGCGAACCATAAAAATGGAACTATATTACACAGGAATATTAGTGAAAAGTAGTGATGCTGGCAAGAAGTTGTAATTATACATGCGTTGTAATAGACAATACATATGCGCATTTAGTACGTATGCCAAGCGCGGTGGAATAGATAGTACGTATGCCCATTTAGTCTTGGTTCAGTAGAAGTATTATAGAGGTTGAATAAAGAGCAGATTGTGATTGTGTCACATATCTTTACTTATTGAAATACATATAAAATTTACAAAGAAGAAAGAAATAGTATATCATTGATTTGTGAAAAGCATAACTTCATGAATGAGTGGGAGTCTATAAAAGTAACACCTAAATGTGGAACGTGTGATATCAGGAATACGTAATTTCTATTCTAGCAGCCCCAAAAATTGATACAGCAATTAAGTGCGAGATTGAGGAAGGAAGTGTAGAAAATGCTTGTCTTCAAGACTATGATCAGCAACGAAGTAATAATCTTAGCATCATAAAAAGTTTTACAAGTACTATATCCATGCTTATACCTCATATCAGCATCACTGTTATTCAAGTTCAGGGGAAAAAATACTACACCAAAAAAAAGTAACCAACATAAAAGGTTTTGAGGTAACATAGTGAAAGAAAACCAGATTTTTGGGAAAAAAAAAAAAGGAAAGTCATGGACAATAGCAGTGAACATGTCACCACATGTTTTCTTTGGAGCAAAACTTCTATGTACACATAAAGGGAAAAAACAGAACAAAATCCAAAATAACTGTAAAAGAGAAACACAAAGCTTCTAACAGAAAAATAACATTCAGCGGTTGGGCACAATTCCTGCATCAAACAGAGGGAAAAGATTTAGGCCAATGGAAAAAAATTCACAAGCCAACATTAAGCTGAAACAACTAATAAGACCAGATTTGTGATTAAGAAGTTTTGAGGTAATAGAGTACAAGAAAACCAGAATTTTTTAAAACCGGGGAAGGGGGGTTGTACAGAACTATAGTAAACTTGTATCACTCCATGTTTTCTTATGGGCTTGACCACTATGTGTAAAAGGCATGGAAACAAGATACTGTCAGAAAAATTTCCAAGAATTTTAGAGTAAGAAATATGGCTAATCTTGAGTTGTATCAGAAATCTGTGGATAGCAATAGTAAACTCGTATAACCATAGTAAATGAAAACTTTTAGTCATCTTTGTGTATCATAAATGTGCATATTAAAGTTCACCATTGATTAGTATATGGTAATAGTATATGTTAATCAGTCCTAATTTAAGCATTGGTACAATTTGCTGCTCAAGGGTTTTAATAAAAATAATATTGAAGCCTCCATCCAAATCACTATCACATAATCTTCCATCTCCATCATCTACTTCTACCTCCAGGATCATTGCTTTCACCTATTGAATATAAGAATTAAAGGGAAAAAGTTCTCAATAAACATGATACTATCTGAAGCACACAAAATGGTACGCGAGGAACAAAATCCACAAGAGGCACCACAAAAAGAAAAAATAATGAAAAGAAAGAAAATATAGATAGTGAGATGCTTCAGTAATTCACCAAGTATATGCACAAAGAAAAACAAAAGGGGGAAAAAATCTAACCCCTTGACACGCTAAAAGTAACTATTTTCCCATCAAATCAGTGCATTCACAAGGAAATAACTAACTAAAATCAGTGCACTCACATGCAATTACCTGGTAATCAACCAAAAAAATTCAACACCAGACAACTACAGAAGTCATAAAATTACTACAGTCAATCACCAAAAACCCTTTGGAAAAAATGGTTGAAAATGGCTACAAACAAACCATCAACATGGACAGTAATGAAAAACAAGCCCAAAAAAAAGACAAGGATCAACCAAAAAAGAGCAGAGAAAAGTTGAAAGACACCTGAGATTTTGGACAGAAGCTTTTCTCACTCCCTTAAATCTGTAATTCTTTCCTTTGAAAAGTTCCTTAGTCAATAAATCACTCACCTGAGATGTATCTAAGTAGAGTGAGATCTTGCATCCAAACAGTAGGAAGAATAGTGAGGGTAGTGAGCAAAGCAAATAGGTGCTTTGAATTAATTCAAGCCCTCCCAAGCTTAAATGTGCATTAGGAAACAGAGATGATAAGTTATCACTCTCCAGAATGATATATTCAATACAACAAGCTTGCAAGGCCAAAACATGGAATCTTTAGTAGTTGCATGATTTATAAATCATACTAAAAGAGCAGGAAATGCAGCATGCCGCCAGAAAATTATGTATGTACGTAACCTGAAAATTCAGTGAGAAAGAAAATTATATTTTAACATTCATTTCAGTTTTCAAAGATAGTGACCTACAGTATTAAACACAAAGGTAATGGTTACTTGGTCTAGCCATCAAATTTCTTGGGATTATCTTAAATTTCAACTCTTGAACTTATCATCGTATTTTACAAAACAAAAAAAAAGTATTTTTTAAATTTACTGTGGTATGTACAGTTGTAGTTTGAGGCAATATGTACCACAACTTGACTTTCATCCATTTATCAATTCCTTTTGCTTTTCAGAGAAAATCTAAAGATCCGAGTGGAGCCTCATAATGTTTCTTACTGTGCATTTAATCTCTTGACCTGTAAAAGCACGGAGGCCTTGGCACATAGCACTACATTGCTAACATATGAAACTTTAGTCCCATCAATTTGTCGGGAGAAGAGTTCACAAGAACAGTAACATCATCAATGCCATCACTGTCAAGCATAGACCATCCCTCATCTGTGGAACCATTTACAGCCTCAGTGAAATCCCTAGAGAAAAAATAAAGTAAATTTTAGGTTCACATAAAAAAATAGAAGCCATCAGAACGTAATGTCAATAGCTCAGAAACCTACTTGCTCAATCATTGGCTAAGTGCTCGTGATGCTGCAGGTCTTCTTCCTCATATTGTGATAGTAGGCTGAGAAACTTCATGTGAGATCTGTCTTAATTGGTATAAAGCCAGAACAAAATGGTATATTCATCTCTTTTTGGATACTTTAGTACATTCACAAATACATTCCAAAAATTGAGATTAAAATCTAAAACCAATACAATGGCATGGCTGGCACAAAGGAAAGAACTGCATAGAATCTAAATATCATACCGCCATTGTTGTCTTCTGAGCAAGCAATGTTGATGACTCATATAGTGGACGGGTCACTTCAGGCACACTCCATGGCTGTTGACAAGCAATACGATTATTATAGCATGGGTAGCCTACTCTATGATGAAACCAGTATGTTAAGTAGAATACCTCTAAATCTATGTGGTCAACTATATGGATTATGGAGCCACCTCCTTCACAAGGTCTGGTCAAGTATTCGTTTGGCAGTATTTTAGCTCTTACAAAATGCTGAACAGGTGGTATACTGGGACCATTATGAGTGTTGTTCAGCAATCTTTCACAGATCTAATGTTTTTCAAGAATTTAATAAATCAACCTAAAGTAGGTAAGACAAGATCGTTTTGCATTCCACCAGTTTACTATGAGGTACATACCATGAGACTACCATCTTCCATCACAAGCATATAGTGTAATAGCCAAAAGTCACGAGTTGGTGCCAGAGTAGTAGGGGCATAGAGCTGAACAAGGAAATCAGAACTACATTTGTCAAACAACTTTACTTAACAGTGGATGACAATCACAGAATTCAGCATACATAAAACTTTGACCTGCATATAAAGAAGTTCAATGGTTCCACCGTTTCCAGTAGATATCAGCATTAAGGACATCCACAGCTTGGCAAGCACGAAACTATTATGGCCGATCTTTTAAGATTTTAGCAACCTGCATACACATGAATAATTGGTACAATCTGTTATTTATGAGCAGTGGCCCATATCTACCAAAATCAATCAAGGGTAAAAGAATTTTGCAGTTCAAACAAATACCAGATCTCTGAGAAACAAAGCAACATACCTGAAAAAGTAAAAATCATAGTGAAGGATAAAATTGACTCTAAAATTCCGACTGCTATCAGCCAAGAATTGAAAAAATAAAATTTGGAAAATCAACCAAAAGCCACCATAGTCAAGGAATTCAAAATAAATAAGTGAAATGACAAAATTTTAAGTACATATTTTAACTTGAACTTATATGATTTCTATAAAGTACATATATCAACTCAACCAAAAGGAAAAATATTTCTTGATAAAAAAACAGAATGCTTGGAGAGAGATTTACAGTTCTCCACTCCAAGATTTAGTTCATAGGCATATGAAAAAGGTTTGGTAAATACTGACTTTCAAAATTTCTTTAAAGGAGGATCTTTTAAATAATACGAGTAGCATGCAAATTAATGAACCAGTTTATCATAAAACTTCTATGTCTGCAACTTTGAGAGTAGAAAATAAGATGAATGCACTTTGATAGACAACTTTGATAGTTTGGTCTATATATATATACATATATATTAGCTTCATTTTTCATAAAAAGTTTCGTCCAAGTAATTTTAGACTAAACAAAGCAGCCTCTCTTTATAAGGCAGCAAAAGTCATAGACCTTTACTGTAAATTATACCTTATTCATGATATTGGTTATTGACCTTCAAACGACACCACCATCTCAACCAAGAATCCAGAGGTCCATCATGCAAAATGGTTTGATTTGAAACAGGACCGTAGCCAACTTCACCAAGCTTATTATTTGATGGAAATTCTAGATAGCAGCAACAGGAATTCGAAACTGGAATTTCTTTTGTTCTTGTGCTGTAATCTTCTCCGAATCCCTTTCTTTTTGCCTTGTTTGATTGATCAACATTCAAGTCAAGCAATTCAAGAAAAATCCCAAAAAAACAAAGTAATGAAACAGAGCAACTATGAGAAAAAAAACAGTAGAAATAACTCTTTTTTCTAGAAACTAACCACTTAGAACCCAACTTCAAAGGGGAAAGCAAAACTTACAAAACCCCATGAGAATGGTGGAGGAAATTTTGAAAATCTGCACCTGCAACATTACAACATCATAAAAGGAAAAAAAATTAGACAACAAAACTCGTAAATAATTAGGGCAAAAAAGAACCAAAAAGAAAAAAAGATTTATTACCTTAGATCCCTTTTCTTCTTTTGCATTATCACCCATTTAAAGAACACTTGCTTCAAACCTAAAAACAGCAAAGAGTAAAATAAATAGTTAGATCGACGACTAAAAAAATGAAAGAACTGAAAAAAAAAGAACTTCAAGCCCTTCTTTGATACAAATAATGATTTACCAAAGCAAATGGAAGCGCGAGTATTTTTTTGGAGGAAAAAAAAAAGAGGAAGAGCTGGAAAAGAGACAAGCTACTGAGAGGAAGAAAAGAAAGAGAAGGACGGCGGAAGTCTTGAGAGAGAGAGAGAGGATAGTAAATTTTGTAACCTTAGACATTTTGTGAAAAAAGATCGAAGAGAGGTGGATGTGATTTGACATGGACCACTGTTTGCAAGAGCAAACATAGCATGTAATGGAACGGAACAAGCTAAGCAGCAAGAGAGAGAAGGGGGGAGGGGTTGGAGCAAACAGAAAAGCAACCGATAACAGCAACAATAAGAATAAAAAAAACACAATAGGGTGATGCAAAACCAAGCAGAAAGGAAATTATCCGAAGCAACAGATAGGCGAAAGCAAAAGAACAGGCTAGACGAAGCAGCTGAAACGGGCCTGCATAAAGAAACTGTACGAAAGACTGAGAATCAGCTGCAAAGAGCAAATTGGGGGAGAAAATCGAGGAGATGGCGCTAAAGTAACATACAAGAGGAATTTGGGGGGAGGGGAGGAAGAGGGAAGCACACACTGATCCAGCTAAAAATCAGAAGGGAAGGGGGAGAAGAGAGGGGAGGATTCCTTCAAAAGAGAGGCTTAATTGGCTGGAGGTGTAATGAACAAACATCGTACAGAAAAGGAAAATGCATAAGACAAACCGACGATCAGAGGGACAGAGGACGACAGGGAAGAGAAACGAAAAAGGCGATAAAAACAGGTGAAAAAAAAGGAGGAGAGGTTACCTGGCGCAGCAAAATAGGAAGGAGAGAGGAGAAGCAGCAGGAGGAAAACAGGAACTGAAGAACAAATGGCTAATCGTGAGGAGAGGTAAGGAGAAGCAACTACATGGGTCATCATTGCAGCAATCTAATCCGCCAGCAGGCAGGACGAGACAGCAGGAGGAGAATGCGTGTAAGGGACAGAGAGGAACAGTAAAGGCTGAGGTGATGCAGCCGTAGGATGGAGAGAAAGAGGGGAAGAGATGCGTGGACAAAGGGATGTAGTGGCAAAAAAAAAAAAAAGAGGAGAAGAGAAGAGGAAAAATAAAATTTGGTAAAATGCGGGGCACAGAAGATAAATTTTGGAGCTGAAAGATGAAAGAAAAGGAAATCTGTGGTCGAGGAAGAAAGAGAAAAAATGAGAGGAGCAGGATGGAGCCGGTAGAGACGAACTTAGTCAGCGAGCAGAGAGGTGCCTGACGGGGGCAACCTGATGGATGCAGGCAAACAGGACCAACGAAAGACGGGTTTTCAAAGGTGGAAGACGTGTAAGGGCATAAAGTGAACAACAAGGTGAGGGGGAGCAGGCTGAGGATGCGGAGGAAACACAGTAGCAGAGAGGAGGGGGAAATTGAGTGCAAAAGGAGGTAAAACTTGGAGTGCAAGGAAGAGTGCACAAGGAGGAAAAGCTTCGAGTAGGTGGAGTCGGTATAGAGGAGATTGATGAAGTGGCAGAGAGGTGAAGAAAGAAGAAAACAGTGGAAAAAAAATAAAGAGACAAAAGCAGGCACACGGCTGGAGGACTGATCCGGTGCAATGAGAACAGTTGCCAACCAACGCATTCGCTCCACGCCAGCATCAAACGAATCCCATGCCGCCACGCGGAGGACGACCACGTCCGACGTGGATACCGGGCGTTCGCCCTTAGTACTATATAGGTTAATGAAAGAGAGTATAGGTCTGGGAGGGGAAGGCGAAGATGGGCTTGGCGACGGCGATGAGGCAAATTTTGTTATGCTAGTGCAAAGTTCCAGTTAAAAGGACCAATCCAAACAAACTCACCAACCCCAAAACATCTAAAAAGCCATATCAATATGTTATTTAGCAACACAAAAAGACCATTTACAAGCGCTCTTCGATGAGCAGTAATGTATCAGGCGCTCTTCACCAGTTTCCGGGAGAGGGAGTCATGTTCACCGATCCTCTCTTGATAACCTCAATTCCAAATAGATAGCCATCCTAATCGAAAACAACACAAAGAATAGATTAAGAATACGAATCAAAAGCATGAAGACAATGGATAAATGCCACATTGAATTTTATACATATGACATGCATCTAGACTAAAAATTTACCTTTATGTATACTGATTTTTTTTTTCTTTTTAAAGCTGCAGACCATAGGGCCTAGGACGTTAGAAAATGAACCAATTAACGGTCCCGATTGTCAACTCACTCCTTGCAAAAAGTTGAGCAGTAACTGTATTAATTTGTATTCAACGTTAGTGATAAACATATTTTAAATCCACGTCATCACTTTGAAATAGTGCAAAAACATGTTAATTAGTACTTTATTTTAAGTTTTAAATCATGTGCTTATTATACCAAAAACGAAGAAAAAATGTAAACCGATGAGCATAAGAAATTTGAGATCTTTAATATAGTCCATTAATCTGTTATTGCTTGTAAAAAACTTTTTACCAACAACGAAAAAGGAAAATGCTGCAATCATTTTTAATTAGAGATCTTTAAGAAATTTGAGAGCTGACAACAATCATAAACACTAGCAAGTAATACCTTTTTTAAATATTAAATATTTTATGATGTGATGTATGTAAAATAAAGAGGTGATTGGAAAGATAAAAATGTGTGTTAGAAATTGTGTTGTCATACAAGCAAATAATTTTTGGCCAAATATTTGATACGCTTTTTTCTTTTCTTCCTTTTTTTAGTTACTTTTATTACATGAAAAAGGTAACAAAAGTTAAAACATAAACATTCAGAGAAAAAGCAAACAAAGCAACTTTCAATGATGTGCTATAAAAATCATTTAAGCAACACATATTGCACCGGTGGGTTGGGCTCCGGCGACAATAACAACGAAAAAATTGCATCGAAGATGTTGGCCCAAGCCTATATCTAAGCCCAACTTATTGCCAGGAAAACCAATTCAACTATAAACCCTCTCGCAAAAACCCCATCGTGCAGAAAGCTTCGACCTGAGACTGCTCCATCACTCAAAGCTTCAGAAATGGCAGCGAAGCCCCTAAAAAGCAACGATTCAAAGAAGAGAAAGAGAATTGCTGGACCCAAAGGAGAGGAAAGAAAAGCCAATCCCAAGAGATTGAAATCACCTTCTACCAATAATTCTCAGTCGGGGTCCAAGAAACCATTCAAAGCATCCAAACAACCACCATCTAGGCAGTATGGAGCTAAGCCTCCGACACAGAAGCACGTACCAGATACCAAAAAACAACGTCGTTTGCTAGCAAAGGTTTCTTTCTTTTTTCTTTTTTGGGGCACCATTTTTGGTTTTTTGTCGTCCTTTGTTTTGTGGACTTTGCTAGCTGATAGAAGGTGGTCTTGGGTGGAGGTAGAAATTAATCCAATTTTTGGCTGTTGATGATTCAGAAATTTTTTTTTTGGGTTTCATATTCAAGTTGGGATTTCGAAGAAGTAAATAATCAATTCTATCGAAAAAGCCTTTAAACTTTTTTCTTGGGTATTGTATATTTTGGTTAGGTAAAACTTGCATTTTTAGTTTAATCTCTTTTGGGTGCACGGACTTGATGCAGGAATTGGCTGAAGCAAGAAAGAAGAAGAGGAAGAAACACTACACTCTGGAACAAGTATGTTTTGTTGCTACTACTTTAGCTCAGTAATCATTGTTGACATGCTAATGAAAGGATTATTTGATTCTTGGTATTGAACATGACTCGGGGAACTATCAACTACCCTGGAATGCTCAGTGCCTTAGTTTTATTTGATAGCAAAGCTTCTGATTTGGAAAATTCGATTGCTTTGGCAAACCAATACTAGGCTTGGGTAATGGCCAGTTCCTTAGGACCAGGTGGGGTAAAGCATTGGCTGCATAGGGAAAAGAAACTTACCATCTTCGATTCAGCTGTAACATCAACAATACACCCTAGCCACAAGCAAGAAACTCAAACTCTTGAGTGCAGTGGAAATTGGGAATATTCGTTGTTATTGTATCTTTGGCTCTCTCTCTCTTCATTTGTCTATATCATCTTCGCTCCTCCATTCTAAACTGACGCACATAGTTTGTCTGTGGGGGTGTACATTTCGAGGTGTTGATTCATTCTCTGAGTAGAATGTTTCTTGGGTTTTTGCTTCTCTAGACTTTCAATATTCTGTTTTCGTTATACCAAAAAATTTATGATTTAGCATATGCCTTTGGATTCAAATCTTTAAGTACATGTAAATATGTAATACATACTTTTAAGCTAGAAACCTTGTGATGGCTGAGTTTTATCTGACAATGCAACCAGACAGTAGCTGTCAAATATAGGAGTCCTAACATCTAAGCAATACTTGAAATTGTTTCTTTGACAGGAGCTTTCAATCCTGTGGGAGAAGATGCGACGTCGAGATATTGCGAAAGAAGATAGATCCAAGTGTGTTAATTTTACTACATTAGAAAATTAATTTGCTATTTTGCTTTTGTCCCTTCTTCATCTGTCAGGTAGTGGAAGAAAAAGTCTTTACTTCTGTCATTTTCAGCAGTCAATAATAATGGTTATCTTTTGCTTGCATCCCTCTACACATGCACATAAAGATTGGCAAGCGAAGCTCTAGGAAAAATGAAGGGCAAGATTCCTGAGATCGCCAGTTCTCATGTTTCATCTCGTGTTCTTCAGGTAACAACCTGTTTATGCTCCTTCTCCTTTTTTCTGTGTTTAAACATTCCGGATTATTGTGTGTTACAGCATAAGTTGGTTTTGTCTCTTGACTAGACATGTGTTAAGTACTGTTCACAAGAAGAAAAGAGTGCAGTGTTTATGGAACTTCAGCCGCATTTTATTAGCCTAGCCACAAACACTTATGCTGTTCATCTGGTGACGAAGATGTTAGATAATGGTAAGATTAAGTTGCATTTATCCTATTGCTTCTAACAAGATGATTCTTT